TACAGTAGAGCCTCTACATGTGTTTTGCACTGGAATCATTTATACATATATATATTTGATTCTCACAACCCCGTGAGGAAGAGAGGAGCAGGGACGGTGACATTTTCCTGTGTCTCAGATGAAAAGACTAACATCCAGAGAGACGCGTGACTGGCCCAAGGCCTTCTGTTGGCAATGGACTGGCGCTGGGGCCTCGTCTTCTGACTCAGGCTCTTTAGCGGCCCACCACTCAGATCCACGTGGAAATCGCCCCAAAGCTTCAGCAGATCTGGCCTCACTGTGGACTGAGCAAGCACAGGAGCTATAGTATGATTCAAGGGGCCCCGATATCTGTGACTCCAATCCAAAGAGCATCACACTGTAGATGCAGGGAAGCCTACGTGAATTCCTTGTGACTCTTGATGTGTGTCTTCTATGGTCTTCGGCCACCACGTTGCCTTGAAACATAACCCCTCAAGAAATGGTGGGGGCAGAGAAAGAGGCCACCACCCCATTCCCCACTAAGCTCCAAAGCGCCGCTCCTCACACCAGCTGACGTCGAGAGAACATTTATTTCACTCAGTCAGCTCCGGCAGGTGTCAGGGACCCACAGACATATCCAGTCTGGATGACCATTTACGTGCACTCCTGCTTGACCGTAGGGGGTGGGGGCGAGCTCCCTCCCGCTTCCACTGTCTCAAGTTGGGAAAAGCCTGAGGCTTCCCATGTCCACTACTGACCCAGGGGAGCCAGCCCACAGCCCAGTAGCACATCTACTAGTTAATTCACACACCCGCTCCCCTTCATACCTCCCATCACCGGCCACCCCACAACCTTCAGCACTTGATGCATCTGTCAGTCGACAAGTGTTTCCTGAGAGTTATGAGCCCAGCCCTGTGCTAGACCCTGTTGGGTTTCAAGAAGAAATGTTGCCCCTCACAGTCCAGATGGAGATTCAAGACACACACACACACACACACACACACACACACATACACACACAGGAAACTGAAGCGTAAGATAGCACATACTACTTGAGGGGAAGGGAAGAAGACGTGTTAGCACAGGTCCTGTTTAGAGAAGGAATGAGGGAAGGTGAGCTAGGTGATTCAGGAAGCAAGGTCCTGGTGGACAGGGGCTTAGCAGGGAGGAGAGGAAGAGGGACATTCAGAGCAACACAAGGGAAGGCACAGAGGTAGGAACAAGCACAGCATAGTTATGGGCAGGGAGGACACAGGCTAGAGGATTAGCAGAGAAGGGGTGTACGGTGGAGGTTTCCTCTAGATTGGCCAAAGATCAGAGCCAGAGTGGGAGCTCCAGGGGTGTGGAGTGCCCTCTTGTTCTCTGTTCTTCCCCCTAAGAGTTCTACTATCCCAGGGCAAGGCATGTGGTAGGGGGTCAGTAAGAACTCATGAGCCAAACCGCATCGAAGACAGAACAAGCAAGACCTCAGGGCAGGAATTCACAGGTCGCTTCCCGATGATCCTGACCAAAACCCAGCCCAGTCCTGGTCAGCTTCCCTTTTCTGATGGGCGGTGCATTCTGGGGAGGCAGGTGAGCACCTGTGGGCTCCAGGCTGACCTGCTCAGGTGTGAAGACGGGAGAAGTCCTTGCCCTGCTGCCAGCCTGGGGCCCATCCCCTCCACTTATACTGACACACACAGAAGGCTCCTCCACTGGCTTCTCCTGTCCAGAACTGCAGGCATCAGACGTGAGGCTCTCATCCTCTTCCTCCCCAGCCTTCACATATGATGCCTGGCTAGGCTGAACACCTGGTCAGGCAGGAGGCACCACTCTCTGGGCTTGGCTGGTGTAAGCAAGACGCCTTCTCCCTGGGGCAGACTCGACTATATTCATACCCCTACCAGTGTCCATAGCAGTCCAGCTTTCCCCAAGATCTCACAGTGAAATCAGAGCCTTGGCTGGGAGCAAAGGGCTTCTTTGTGAAAACCAGAAGCCAGTCAGGCAGAACAAGAAACACAAAACCAGAGCAAATCCAGCCCAGGGAACCTCCGCCAACGTCTGGGAAGGGAAATGAGGTTCCAGAAACCTGATGCATCATTTGTCAGGTCTGGGGGAAGGGACTGACTCAAAGGGTCCCTTCCTCCGAATTCTTTATTCTTAAACAAGGGAAGGAGACTTGGCCAGAGGGAGCGAGGTGGTGCACTACTTGTACTGTGGCCTTGACTCAGGACTCTGTGAGTGGCAGATGAGGAAAGGGACAGATAAGGAAAGGGCAGCAGGTGAAGCCCCCCCAGGGCTGAGGTTCTTAGCCTGGAGTCCAGGCTGGGTTTCATTCAAGGAGTCCAGGGGCTCCTGAAATTGCTTGGGGCTTTTGAGTGTAAGTCCATAGCCTTCATCAGCTTTTCAAAGGGTTTCCTGGCCCTAGAGTGTTACGAACCACTGCTCAGAAAGGAAAAGGAAGCCTGTAGGTATCATTCACATCTGGAGGAAGGTTTGGCCGCCAGAGCCAGGTCTGCCACCAACTTGCTGTGTCAGCTGAGACCAGTCACTTCCTGTCTCTGAACTTTAGCCAAGTGGTGGAACAGGCAGATGCAGAGAAGCCAGCTCTCCATACTGGCATCGTTGTACAGCCACAGGAGAGCTGAGACCTATGGCCAGGCAGCAGGATGAGGTCTGCCCCGGCTGTGACTCCCACCAGGCCTGGGGAGTTCATCGCCAGGGCTCAGAATCTGCCTCCAATTCCAGGCTCCATCCTGCCACTTCTACAAGTCACCGCTGGGCACCTCCTGGGCAGGTCTTCTTAGGGGATGTGTCTTCATACCAGGGTGCAGTGCCAGCCAGGCTCCCGTGGAACCCCATTCCTGGTCTCTATGCTCAGATGTGCCCTGCACTTTCCAGGTCATAAGGACCTGCCCACTCTGCATCTGTTCACAGAAACAAAGAGATCAGGGTCAGGTCTTGTGCAATGACATGGCCTGCCCAGCCATCCCTCTGGGGCTGGAAGGGATAAATCAGCTGACCCACCCTGAATCTGTCCAGGGCTTTGAGGGAGTCCTCTCAGTCCTCTACCAAGCACTGCAAAGATTATTAATCTCATTTACAGATAAGACACCATGAGTTCAGAGCATTTTGGTGACTGGCTCCAGATGCCCCAAGTCCCTGTTTAATCTCTTAATCTCTGCCACCAAGTAGTAGTCCACGTTGCAACAGCCATCTGGGGGTGATGGTCAGAGGGCAATCAACCCCTGAGGAGCCACACAGCACTGAGGAAGGATGGAGGGGACAGAGGAAAGGGATGAGTCTCCAGTATAGGACTGGGCACAGGGCAAGGCTCTGGGAGTGCAGGTCCCCTTGAAGGCCCAGCTTCCTTCCTCCCAAACCACCACTGAAGATGTCATGCCCTTTTCACGCACCTTTACCACCTCTAATGCCCTTGCTCTGGCTCCTATCACATGGTCCCTGGGCACATTCCCAAGTCCTCCCAGCTCCATTGTCCATTTTTAGCAGTAGAGCTTAAGGGTCCTAGGATCCAGAATCCAAAATAAAGCCCCTGTACCACTTCCACTGTACCACTGAGGACTAACTGTGATGCAGGGCGAGCCTGGGCAGTCTGTTTCTTTGTGTGCCAGATGGCTGAGGAAGCCCATGTCTCAGAGCACCATCTTGGAATCAGAGGTCCTGGGGCAGGTCCCACCCCCCCCAGTCTTTCGCACTGCGTGACCTTCATCAAGTCTCTTAGCTGGGGGCCTCACGTTTGCTTGCCTAAATGAGCCCAAGACCCTTGAGGCTCCTGCGCGTCCCATTTCAATCTGTCCTCACAGTGCCTCTGGTTCTCCTTCTGATGCACAGGTCTGAGATCACTGTGCTCATCTCATTAAAAATCTCAGATGTTCTCTCGCCTTTTGGAGGGCAGCTGTCCCTAACATTTTTGGCATCAGGGACCGGTTTCGTGGAAGACAATTTTTCCACAGATGTGGGGGTATGGGGGGATCATCAGGCATTAGATTATCATAAGGAGCATGCAACCTAGATCCCGCACATGCACAGTTCACAAAAGGGTTCCCATGCCTATGAGAATCCACTGCTGCCACTGTTTTGACGGGAGGCAGAGCTCCACTCATCCCCACTAACCTTCTGCTGTGTGGCCTGGTTCCTAACAGGCCAAGGACCAGTACCGGTCCATGGCCTGGCAGTTGAAGACCCCTGTTGTAGGGCAAATTTAAATCTCTGCAGTCAGAACCCCACTTCAAAAACATCTTTCTCACACGCTTGCTCTGCCTAGGACAATTCTATTTGTTCCTATGACCTAGTTTAAAGCCATCAAATTTCTCAGGGTGGACACAGAGAAGCCGGTTACCCTCCTTGCTCTTGTCCCAGAACACTTTATGGGTTGTCCCTAACGATAGCCCACATCCTACACACTGAATGTGAGCACCGAGCTGACAGGGCCTGTGGTTCTCATCTGTGCCTCCTCTGGAGAGCCCAGTGCAGCATCTGGTGGGGAGGTCAACTAAAGCTCTGCAAATAAGTGACCTCATCCTCTCTGTTCTGTAGCATCAACTACCATCCTCACAATATCCCAGAGAGGAGGAGGAGTCCCTCATCTTTATCCCCAACTCACAGATGAGCAAACTGAGACATGAAGTGAAATGACTTCTCAAGGACACCAGAGAGTGCGTGCAGGAGCCAGGAGGTCTGGGGGGCTGGGGCTGGGGATTGTGGAAAGTGGCCCACTGCAAGTCGCTTTCAACTCTTTCATTCTGGGGGTGAAGATCGGGTAAGCAGCTTATCAAAAAGAGACTACAGCCCAGTACACCCCACCACGCAGGCCACCCCCACCCGACAGCAGGAAGCAGCAAGGCCTATCCCAGCCCACCACCCTTCCGTGCCCTGGACTGAGAGGGGCTTTAGCCATCCCCAAGAGTCTCACCTGCTCTAGGCCAGATGCACCTGAGGAGGAGAACCAGGGAAGGGGCCCAGAGCAGCTGTGCGCAGCCAGCAGGAGGGTCCTGAAGGAAGAATGCAAGGGGGCGGCCCGAGTCTGGTGGTGGCCCACACCTTCTCCCGGGATCCCGTCCAGAGAGGGCGCTGCAGCCCAGGGCCATCTCCGGGGGTCCGAGACCGGTCTCCGGGACAGGAAGCAGCCGTGGGCAGCAGGCCCCGCACGCATCATAGCACGCGGCCTAAGTGGGCCGCTTGGCCCTCGGGCGCGTGGCCGTGGCTGCGCTGGTGGGTCTTGAGCGAGCCCTCGCGCGCGAAGCTCTTGCCGCAGCGGGGGCAGAAGTAGGGTCGCCGCTCCCCGAAGACGCCGGGGCGGCGCGGGTGCGGCGCGGGCATGCGCGCGTGGGTGCGCTGATGGTTGAGCAGGAAGCGCGGCTCGCGGAAGCAGCGGCCGCACTGCGCGCACTGGTGCGGCTTCTCGCCGCTGTGGATGCGCTGGTGCGTGAGCAGATTCTGCTTGAGGCTGAAACAGCGGCCGCACTCGGGGCAGGGGAAGGGCCGCTCCCCGGTGTGTGTGCGCTGGTGCACCTCGAGGTTGTGCTTGACGCTGAAGGCCTTGCCGCACTCGGGGCACACGAAGGCGGCCGCGCGGCCCGCCCCGGCGTGCGCCTTCTGGTGCCGCACCAGGCTGGGCTGCTGCGAGAAGGTCTGGCCGCACAGCGGGCAGCGGTGGGGCTGCTCCTCCGCAGGGTGGTGGATGACCAGGCCTCGCTCCTCTCCCAGACCCTCCTCCCCGTCCCCCGCAGGGGACCCGCCCCCCGAGGACGCCAGCTCGGTCATGGGAACTTCCAGCTGCAATCACCAGTCCCTGCAGAGGCAGAAGCAGAGAGACGGGCAGGGGTCAGCCTGGCAGAGGACGCTCACCTCCCACAACCTCCAGTGTTTGCCCCTCTATAGTTGGGTTCAAGCCCAAGTTCCCCTGCTGGGAACTGCTGCCCTTCTCATGGAGGCCTGCCCTCTTTCCGGGCCCTTCTCAAGGGCCACCTCCTCCCAGAAGCCTTCCTTGACTCCTCCAGCCCCTCTTTAAACCTTGTGACCCAACCCTGTGACCTTTTACACATCACACCGCATGAGGGTCAGTGGCGCTGCCTCTGCCCTCTCCCAACCCCCCACAACACTTAAGGACGGAGCTGCCATGTTTTAGCCCCAGCACCAAGCACCGTGCCAGCCACACAAGACATTGAGCAAATGCTGATGAGTAATAGTCCAGGACTCCTAGTAGTTTAAGATATCTTTCACCTGGATAAGTCCAGATTCTTAAGGCGAGGGGGCAAGGGAGGTGCACCCCAAACCCAGAGGGAAGGGTGAGATCACCAGTGGTTCTTGTTTCACAAGAAACAAAACCAAAACCCTGTAAAGTTGAAAGTGACCTTAGTTAAACGTTCTCTTTGGCAGCAGTTCTTTGTCAAAATGAAGCCTGCCTTTAAAAGGTTTGCAAGTCACTGAACCAGGGTGTGAGCCCCCAGGGGGCCCAGTCTCTGCTGGATTCCTCTGGGTTTCCCCACAGCAAAGCCTGCTCCAAGGCTGAGCAACACACTTGCTCAGCAAACACCCCAGGCCCTGGCTCCCTTCCTGCTGGTTCTCCTAAGGACCCTCTTCCCAGGGTACTGAATTTCTCTTAAATTGTTTCCCACTGTCCTCACAACAGCCCTGAGAAAGGGCAGAGCAAGATTAATGAGCCCCACTTTAGAGATGGGGAAACTGAGGCAAAATAAGGTCAATATACTTGCCCAAGGTCACACAGCAAGGTGAGCCAGGACTAGGCCTTGAGTCTCCTGACTCACTGTTGAAAGCTCCTTTCAATGTACTAGCTGTTCAACAACTAAACACTCCTCAAAACACAGACACACACACACACACAAGACCACCACCACTATCCCGGCCATCACAGAGCTATCCATTCCCAAAGGGCCACTTCTCTAGGAGCGCTGTCTACAGCCACCACCCCATGTCCCCCCCCAAAACTTGGGCTCCTGCAGGGCCCTAAGACCTGCTTCCTCCTTGCTCCCCATCCTCATTAGGGAAGCTTGCTGTCCCACCGAACCTCCCCAAAGGCCTTCTCCACACTGCCAGCTTCAGTCAATCTGTCTGCAGATTAGGGTCTCAGAGACACCTCCTCTGTCTCCTCTACCCTCAGGCCAGGGTGGAATTCAGCACTCACCCTGGGGAAGGGACAGGCATCACTTGTGATAGACCCCACCCACAAGTCTTTCCTCAGGCAGCTGCACTGATATCTGCAAAGACAGACCATCAAAGTCCCCTTGGCCAATCTCAGCCTGACCCTGTTACTGGGCAACCTCTCTGTTCTCCCAAGCTATACCTCTGACCGAGGCCCCGCACGCAAAGAGGGTCCAAGGCCATGGCCCCTATCTCTCCCCCAAGTTCTTCCATCCCACGCCACACTCACAGCCCAGGCTGAGCCCCTGCTTCTCCCGTCTCAAGCGGCAGCTCTTTGCTCGAGTCTGCGCTGCTCAACGCAAATACGGTAACTCTCCCGCAGCGACTCCCGCGCCCCTTCTCCCCACCCCCATAAAGACAGCGAGTCTCCCGCAACGTTGCTCTTATCAAATAGATGCATTAATCAAAATAGCTGACCCCACCCACCCGACCCCACGCACAACCTTGCCAACTCCTGCGACTGGAGCAACCCTGGAGAAATATGGTAAACTCTGCGTCGCAACCCCACCCCCACGAAAACACGTAGGCCTCCACCCTGCAGCCGCAACCCACCCCGCCCAGCTGCAAGCCTGGCTCCCTGAGGGAATGAATGCAACCCACTCCCCGCGCCCGCAGCGCCCCCCGCGGAACCACGCAGCCCTGGATAAATACGTAATTGAGTGGCGGCGCTCCCACTCCCGGAAAGGATCTGCGCGGCTCCCGGCAAATACGGTAACGCGCCCGCAGTGACCCGCCCCCAAGGGTCCGGCACTGGCCTCGATAAATACGGTAATCGTCCGCCCGGGCCCAGCCCGGCCCTGTGCGAACTCACATGGCGCCGCCTCCCGAGCCCTCAGTCTTCTCCGCGGCGCCGCAGTCGCCAGCGTCGTCGCAGCCGCACAGCAGCCCCGTGAGGCTGGGAGGTCTAACTCGCCAACAACCTGGCTGGGGGGAAAAGGAGGGCCGCGAGTTCTCCTGGGCAGGAGAGGGAACCAGGTGGGGGCCGATTCCGGCACTAGAATGTCCCGCTGGGCGGGTCCCCCCAAGTCCCCGGGTCTGCCGCCCCGAACATCACACGCCCTTTCAGGGTCCCCGAGAACCCGTTTCCGCATTTCCCTCATCCGAGGCAGAAATAGCCCGAAAAGGCCCACAAAACTTCTCCCAGCGACTGGGAAATAGGGTCGGGGACGCCGAAGGTACCAGGCCTCTCCGTGAGCGGGAGAGAGAAGGGGCCAGCGTAGGAGCCTGGCGGCGGAGCTTCTAAGAGTGGGTTTCACTGGTGGGAACAACAGCCAAAAGGGCAGAATCAGAGAGCTGCCCTAGCTGACAGTTTTGCCAAAGCCTACCCTGCTGTATGGTCTGGGTTATATCACTAGGATGACGAGAGGGAATGGAAGAAGAAATTAGGCCCCTCTGACCCCTCCTCCTCAGATAGAGTCCATCAAGGCCAGGCAAAGATAATTTCATAAAAGAGCTGCTCATAACATTGAAAGAGGCAGTTGGCATGAGAGGGCAGGGCCAAATTACAGTTTCCAGCTGCCATTTAATGATAATACAGCTTACCCAGACATAACTTTGCTTTTTACAAAGCCCTTTCCCACATGATCTCATGGGAACCTTCCAATAACCATGTGCAGTCTAGGTTGTGCAGGTATTATCATCCCATTTTATAGATGGAAAAATAAAATAAACTGAAACAGTGGCTTCGCCCAAGACTCACAGCTCTAAGTAGCAGAGCTCAGATGGGAACACAGGTCCCAAGACCCAGCTTGTGTTTCACTACACCCCCTGGGACTGAGAGAGACCCTCAGATACAGAGTGAAGGCAGTGATCAGCAGTAATAGACTGGGTCCCAGTGAGAAGTGCCTCATTTGACCTATAAATGAATTGAGGCCTGAGGGAAAGTGATTTTAAAAGTTACAAGTGCTGGCCGGGCTCGGTGGCTCAGCCTGTAATCCCAGCACTTTGGAAGGCCAAGGCTTGTGGATTGCCTGAGTCCGCCGGTTCCAGACCAGTCCGGGCAACTTGGCGAGAACTTGTCTCTGCAATAAATAAAAAATTAGCCGGGCACGGTAGCGCGTGCCTATAATTCTGGCTACTTGGAAGGCTGTGGCAGAAGGATCGCCGGAACCCAGCAGGTCGAGGCTGTGGTGGCCAGGAGCGTGCCACTACACTCCAGTCTGGGCGACAGAGACTCCAACTCAAAAAAAAAAAAAGTTACAAGTGCTGGAGCAATGTCAAAATAGGCTTTCTCTCTATAACCCCTCGGTATCTCCCAGGTGGAGGGAAGTTGGGATTCCCCAAGGCCCCCAGCGGGGTTCCTTGCAGCTGACATTGGGGTGACATTATCCCCAATGATGGACTTCGAAGGACACAGGCCTCCCAGTCTCATGATAGTCTCCCTTGCAGCACCAAAGGTGCCTAGCATGCCTTTTGGAGCCTGGGAACTGACAAATTCCAGGCAGGAGTCACTAGGCAGTAAAATCAGTCCTTTGCTCCCAACACCAGGCTTGGAGAGCACCAGGCTTGCGAGCTTTCACAGCTCACTCTGAGGACCAACCTGTCCTAGCAGGCCTCAAGGATCCACCCACACCTCCACCCCTGTTCATGCTGCCCCCGGAGCAACTTACTGAAGGATGTGGGACTTCATGAGTTAGACATCCCAAGGAAATTGGGATTTCAGAGACAATGGGTGGGAGTACTGGGAAGCCAAAGAAATAAGTCCACCGGGATATGTACCCCAGAGTCACATTCAGAGTTCCCATGTATTGACCCCAAGACCTCCTGTCCAATGACCACCTACACCCACTCCTCTGCTCACAAGACATTGATACCCAGCTCTCTAGCCCCTGTTGCCCTGGTCTAGGACACCTTCCCCTCCAAACCTGAGCCAACCAGTGAGCCACTATTCTCTTTTTTAGCCTAAGGGACAACCTAAGGGATTCTGTTCATTTCCTTCCCTTCCCTGCCCCTGCCATGATACAGAAAGAGCAGTGATATGTGAGGATATACTATTTTTGGCTCCAACACTCCTCCTGCCCAAAGGTCAAGGATATTTCTTTACCAAATTCAAACCACTTAAAAAAAAATAATGAAGCTTTCAGAAGCATCCCTGCTCGCGCCAGTTTCTCTCTGCCAAGTGCCCACTCTCTCCCTCAGTCAGTGTGCTTTGACTGCCATCTCTGGCCCTTGCAGCCTACACTCCTTTGGGAAGCTCCCCAGGCAGCTAAGCCCAGAACCCCTGGGGCTGGGTAGTGGGACACAAACCCTCCCAAGGAGGCTGACTGCCTTGCCAGCTGACTGGAAGCGTATGTCGCTTGCCAAAGGACATCCATTTTCCAAGTACCTAAGTCATTTTTCTTAGCTCCAGCCTGCTCCTAACAAAGGAACACAAGGTTGATGCAGACAGTTCCAAGAACCCCAGCTCCACTGGGCTCACCTGGCTTGGAATCTTAGCCACGGGTCTCCACTGCCCATTTGCACTTACCTGGCCATGGACTGGATATGGATCCTTTAAGATCTTGCTGTATTTAATTAGTTTGTTTATTTCCCCTACACAACCACCTTAATCTCAGCAAGCTCCAGAGAATTTTGGATTATAAACCACTAGGATAACAAGTCTGACCTTCTTGTCTTTGATTTTATGACACACCTCTTCCTACAGATTTTTCTGACCTAGTTTTATCATTTTAAAGAGGGAATGGAAATTGAAGTTGACAATGCCACACTACTCTTGGAGAAGCCTGTGACTGTGACAGTAGAAGCAGCTTGGGCTAATAGAAAACCTGGGACTTGCTGTAAATTTGTAACAGAACCTGGTGGACAAGGTTGTCCAAACTCATTGCCCATGTATCCCTGTCCTACCTACATCACTGACTCATGGTGAGATTAAATGAGGTAATGAAAAAGCCTTGCTAAGAGAGCTGGGACTGGGAACAAATTGTTTAAGAATTGAACAGAGGCTGGGCTCGGTGGCTCAGTCTGTCATCCCAGCACTTTGGGAGGCCAAGGTGAGTGGATTGCCTGAGCCTGTGGGTTCAAGACCAGCCCAGGCAACTTGGCAAGACCTCGTCTCTACTATAAATCAAAAATTAGCCGTGCGTGATAGCACATGGCTGTAGTTCCAGCTACTTGAAGACTGAGGCAGAAGGATCGCTGGAGCCCAGCAGGTCGACACTGGGGTGGCCATGAGTATGCCGCTGCACTCCAGCCTGGGCAACGGAGTGAGACTCCAACTCAAAAAAAAAGAAAAAGTTGAACAGATAGACAGCTCCAAGCCATTTGTGTATGAAAATTATTTTCCATGAAGATCCTTGAGCTCCTCAAGGGTAGGGACTGTCTTAGTCATTGCAGTATCCCAGAAGTCTAGTATGATACATGGCACATAGTAGGCTTGTTTAGTGAACCAGTGCTGTACCTCGTCAGGCCAATGAAGCATACAACTCAGTAATTCTGAGGGACGCGACTTTGTCTGCCTTGTAACCCAACACACCCATTTGTCACCTGGGATCAGCGAACAGGCATTTTCATGAATTTGCATGGGGGGAAAAGCTGCAATTAGGCCTCATTAACCCAAGTCCTCCCAGCACAGCTGTTTGATTTGATCATTAAACAGGCCATTTATAGAAGATAACATATTCTACTATAAAGATATTTTTGCAGGACTTATCTCTTGAGTCAAGCATCCTATTCATAGCCAGGTGTGGTAGCACATGCCTGTAGTTCCAGCTACTCGGAAGGCTGAGGCGGAAGGATCGCCGGA